GATCTTGCAAGATTCTGCAGGATCCTGCAAGATTCTGCACGCGAGTGCGGGCCAGTGCACCCCTGGCTCTGCAAGATCCTGTAAGATCCGGAGCTCTGTCTGACCCTCGCTTGCATTGACCCCCGTTCCGAGGCTCCCGACACGGGACGCCGCTCTGGGTGACCTCGTCGCCGTTCCGTCTCGCCGCCTCTCGCTGGCTCGAGTTCCCTCCTCCGAGATGGGCGGAGGGGCAGCTCGCTGGCTGGGGGAGCGCGAGAGGGGGAGCCATCTACGCACTGCGGAGCTGCGCGTTTCATCGTGGGGAAACTGCGCGACGGGGGCATTCTGTAGCTGCGTGCGCGAGTGCCGTGAACGGCCAGGAGCAGTGGTTGCTGCGAGATGACAGGGAAGCGAGCCTCGCGCGGCACCCAGTGGAGACAGCAGAGTGGCAAGCCAGAGGGTCTGAACGTTTACCTGCTCGTGCATGAGCGCGTGCAGACCCGTGGTGGGCGGTCGAGCAGCCCGCTCCGCCGCGCCCGAGTGAAAGTGGAAGTGCCGGGGCAGCGCCCGCAGCTGAGAGGTGCTTCGAGGGCGAGGCGCCAGGGAAGTGGGCGCGGGTCGGGGAGCGCGTGGGGACGGACGCGGGCGGGGTCTACGCTGGTTGGAGAGGGTCCTCCGGCACGCTTTCGGGCAGCGACGTGGCACGGGAAATCGCTGGTGGTGGCGGGCGGGAACAGTCGAACGGAAACAATGCGGAGAGAGGGCCAATGCCGCCACCCGCAGCAGGTGGGCGTCCCGGAGAGGTTTCAGAACGCCGACGGCGGAGAGGTGGAACGGGCGGCGGCGGGAACGGCGCGGCGTTGGGGAAGAAAGCATGGGTTGCTGCGTGGAACAGGGGGGGGTGCAGCGATGGAACTGAATGTGCCGGCAGATGCGCCAGTGATGGAGTGGAAGCGGCCATCGCGGGCGCCGGGGCAGTGGGCGCCGAGAGGAATGGGTGCAGCATTGGTGCGCAGGGCGTGGCAGTCGGGGCCGGCAAACGGAGGGGGAGACCGGCTCGTGGCGCGGTGGGAGTGCTAGGAGCCGGTTCGGGCAAGACGGATGGAGAGGCGGCATCCGATCCCGCAGGGGATGTCGAAGGGAGCGATGACATCGTCCCCGTGGCGGACGCGATGCAGCGGGCTTACTATGACGTTGGAGTGGACGGTGCATCGAAGCATCCGCGCAGGGCCCGGGAACTCCTCGTGGTGGCGGCTGCATCGAGTGTGCGGCGTCACCCGACCGTGCCCGCGGATCCGGAGCATCGGCCGAAGCAGAAACGAAGCAGCTGACGTGCTGTGCGACAGGGTGCGGGGTGGCTTTCTGGGGCTGTGGTCATTCAAATCCTGTGCAAGTGGAAGAGCACCGGAGGGACGGAGGGCGAGTGGTGTGCGGAAACTGTGACAAGCGGGGCATCACTGCGAAGGGAGTAGCCGATGCGGCAAAACGGCTCGAGCGAAAATTGACGTGCGCGGCGTGCGCCCAGGAATTTCCGCGCCAGAGTCACGCAAGCGGCGCGCAGGAGACGGCGCACTTCTCGAAGAGGACGAGAGTAGCGTGCGCGGACTGCAAAGAGCGCGGGTTCACGGCTCGCTACTGGGAAGGGTAGGAATGTTCGGGGAAGTGCAGGAAGACACTCCCGAAGTGTGCATTTGCGGCGAAGAAACACTTCGCGCATTCATGCGAGAATGGCACGCTGACGTGCAAGTTCTGCGCGTGATTCCGGAGGGGGAGGAGGAGGAGCAGGAGGAGGAGGAGGAGGAGGAGGAGGAGGAGGAGGAGGACAAGGAGGAGGGGAAGGAGAAGAAGGATGAGGAGAAGGATAGGGGAGGAAGAGCAGGAGGAGGAGGAGGAGGGGGAGGAGGAGGAGGAGGAGGAGGAGGAGGAGGAGGAGAAGGAGGAGGAGGAGGAGGAGGAGGAGGAGGAGGAGGAGGAGCGCGAAACAGGAGAGGGAGGAGCTGGAGGAGGACGGAAAGAAGGGGGTCGCTCGAAGTATTCTGGGAGCGTTTGGGGAGCCGTTTTTTAATATGCGTTTTGAATATTTTGGGCGCTTGCGGCAGCCTCTTTGCGGGAGGAGGAAATGGAGGAGAAGGAGGAGGAAGATGAGGACGAGCTAAAGTCAGGATCCGGTTTGGAGGCCAGAATAACTCAGGCTTCCGGTTGCCGTTGGGGCCATGTTGGGGCCAAGAACGTCGCCGTTGGAACGTTTCGTTGTTCATAGGCGGCGGGCATCTGTCAGAAGACGAGAATGGCCGTCGACCCATCCCGCCACCGTGCCTGGGTTGTGGGTATGAGGCCGATCGGACAGCTAATTGGGGGGGTCGTGTGAGGCCTTTTCGGGGGCGTCTTGGAAACAGTTTTTTGGCCTCTTGGGGGTTTCCTGGGGAGCTCTTAGGGGCTTTGGGGAGCCCTCTAGGGTGGTCTCCCTGGGGGCCTCTTGGGCCCTCTTGGGAGCTTCTTGGGGCAACTTGGGGGCGGCCTG